ACTAATATGATGAAAGTATCACGAAATTATTTGAATAAACCACATCGCATATATGAGGGGCGAATATCCTAAAGGGGGAGCGATATTCCTAGGGTATTCGCCCCCTTTTGAGAAAGGGGCAAATCGCCTGGGGGGAGGAGGGTGAAAGTCCTGTGACGAAGGCATGGGCAAATAGAAGTACCTTTTTTAAAATTATATGTTGCCTCCCAAAATATGAGTTTGCCCCTCAAATACCCCCCCCCCCCCATATTCTGAAGCCTGACGTGGTGGCGTCGCCACTGGTAAGGGGTTCAGCGTTGCCAAGTCGAAATTTTATCCCGAGATTTCAGGAGTTTTTGAAGTAGTTGGGATTTTTTTAAATTTTGAGAAAGGAAGTTTGAAATTTAGAAATCGAATTTTTTGGTATAATTGACCAATAAACATTCAACTTAGATGTTTATGCCGTCGTATATGTTCGGCATAAACATTCAACTTAGATGTTTATGCCGTCGTATATGTTCGGCATAAACATTCAACTTAGATGTTTATGCCGTCGTATATGTTCGGCATAAACATCCAACTTAGATGTTTATGCCGTCGTATATATGTTCGGCATAAACATTCAACTTAGATGTTTATGCCGTCGTATATGTTCGGCATAAACATTCAACTTAGATGTTTATGCCGCGGCATAAACATTCAACTTAGATGTTTATGCCGCATAAACATCTAAGTTGAATGTTTATGCCGAACATATACAACGGCATAAACATCTAAGTTGAATGTTTATGCCGAACATATACAACGGCATAAACATCTAAGTCGAATGTTTATGCCGAACATATACGACGGCATAAACATCTATAAGTTGAATGTTTATGCCATATACATCACCGGCATAAACATCCAAGTTGCATAAACATCTATAAGTTGAATGTTTATGCCGAACATATACGACGGCATAAACATCTATTGAATGATTAGGCCGAACATATTCAACGGCATAAACATCTAAGTTGAATGATTATGCCGAACGTATTCGCACTGTACCACATCTTCATGAACATAGCGAATCCCTCTCATAAGCACGCTCATATATGCTTGTATTAGCGCGTGCTTAAGTTGAATGTTTACCACTGTACCACATCTTCATGAACATAAGCGAATCCCTCTCATAAGCACGCTCATATATGCTTGTATTAGCGCGTGCTTATGCGTATCCCTCTTATAAGGACGCTCATATATGCTTGTATTGGCGTGCTTATGCGAATGCAGAGAACACCTTATTCAGTTCGGTATCTCATGAGCACGCTCATATGTGGCTAAAAAGCATATCAGATTTCAGTATACTCAGATCCCTAAAAATTCCCGATCTTCTCACTTTTACGTCATTTAATTTAGGTGGTTTTCGTGCCAAGTTCGGGTAGGATAGCTTCATACGTCATGTTGTAGAAACGAAATCTGACATCAAATATGCAACTCAGTAGCGTATAAATACTAGTGGACGAACCCTGGATTTTTAGCAGAATTGTTTATTGGTCAATTTTACCAAAAAAATCGATTTCTGAATTTCCCTCTCTCAAAAAATAAAAAGAAATCCCACCTGCTTCAAAAAATCCTGAGATCTCGGGATAAAATTTCGACCTGGCAACGCTGAACCCCTTACCAGTCGCGGCTCCACCACCCCAGGCTTCAGAATATCGGGGGGGGGGGCATTTGAGGGGCAAACTCATATTTTGGGGGGAAGATATATTTTTTTAAAAGGTACTGTTATTTGCCCATGCCTTTGTCACAGGACTTTCACTCCCCCAGGAGATTTGACCCCTCTCAAAAGGGGGCGAATACCCTAGGAATATCGTTCCCCCTTTAGGATATTCGCCCCTCATATATGCGATGTGGTTTATTCAAATAATTTCGTGGCACGTTCATCTTATTAGTGCCTTGCACGTTTGTGAATTTATCCCTTACATTTTATACTGCTTTATGAAAGATAGGCAAAGCAAGTAAAGGTTAGCGTTTTACGTTTTCGTAAGAGTATAGTTTTATGATTTGAAAAATGGTGCAAAGATTGGCATAAAAATTGAAAAAGAGGGGAAATGGGGAAAAAGAAAAGTTCGTCCATTTTTTGATATTTAAAGTGGATCTACATTTGCGAGCAAAAAAGTAAAGGGTCAGGCCTTGAATTTTTGGCGACTTAATTTTTTTATATATAATTTGGTGATGAGGGATTATGTAGATATAAGTATAGTTTAATACCAGTAAATAGATCTGCTAGTCGAGTGGTAGTCTCCTGGTGATGCATGAGGGAAGAAGTACGGATCGATCCCTGCTGTAGTTGAAACCATTTTAATTAATCCACCCGAGAAGAGAAAGAGTGAAGTAGAACAAAAAAGGAGTTAGAGCAACTGTAGGCGAGATGGTCTAGTGCTAAGGACGAAGTCTTGCAAGTGCGTAAAGCCAGGATCGACTCCTGGTTGCGCAGAAAGCATTTTAATGTCGGGCATCGTTGCTTGTTAATTCCATCCGAGACGAGAAAGAGTTAAGTAGAATAAAAAAGGAGTTAAAGCTAGTGTAGGCGAGATAGTTTATAGTGGAATGGACGAAGCGTTGCAAGTGCGTAAAGCCAGGATCCATTCCTGGTTGTGCCAAAAGCATTTTAATGTCAGGCATCGTTGTTAATTAATTCCACCCGAGACGAGAGAGAGTTAAGTAGAATAAAAAAGGAGTTATAGCTAGTGTGGGGGAGATGGTCTAGTGGAAGGGATGAAGTGTTGCAAGTGCGTGAAGCCAGGATCGTTTCCCGCTTCTGTCGAAAGCATTTTAATATCTGGCATCGTTGTTAATTAATTCCACCAGAGACGAGAAAGAGTTAAGTAGAATAAAAAAGGAGTTAAAGCTAGCGTAGGCGAGATGGTCTAGTGGTAAGGACGAAGTGTTGCAAGTGCGTAAGGCCAGGATCGAATCCCGTTTCTTTCGAAAGCATTTTAATATCAGGTATCGTTGTTAATTAATTCCACCAAAGACAAGAAAGAGTTAAGTAGAATAACAAAGGGAGTTACAGTATGTGTAGGCGAGGTGGTCTAACGGTAAGGACGAAGTGTTGCACGTGTGATAAGCTAGGTTCGATTCCTGGTTGTGTCGGAATCATTTTGGGCATGGAAAGGTTAGAATATAATTCTATTAACTATCACTGTCTTGTTCGACTAGTCATACATGCGGCTGTAGAAACCTGTTTTTTATCGTCTAATGATGCATCAATCTGGCATCGAAGAAGGCATAGGACCGTAGATTCTAAAAATACAATTTTCAGACCGGCGTATACATTCACCTTTCCGCTACAGGGACCTTGAAATTCAATAGAACAACAGATTCGAAACAGCCCAAACCCTAACCCTCATTTATATAATACTAACTTTCACGTTTTTTTCGATTACATAGCTGGAAAAAATTGCTTTTTATCTCCACGACCGACCTAGTGATGAAAGAATGAGGCATCGACAGAAAGCTAATGGATCGTAGATTTCAAGAATACAATTTACAGGCTGGCCCAAATTCAAGTCTCTGCTACAAGGGCCTTGAAAGTCGATAGAACATCAGGTTCGAAACCACAGAGGCCGCGGAAGCATTTCGAAAGTGGAGGGGCATTGACCGAAAGGGGCACTTTTGTATATGACCAGAATCAAACGATTTTATGACGTTCACGAGCCGAACGAAAATTTTTGAAAATATGGAGTCTCTCTAACGTCGGAAATGGCCTTTACAGAGTCTTTACTACTGCGAAAAGGGCATTTTCTTTCCAGAAAAAGAGGGCGTTTATTCAAGAAATATTTTTTCGTTCTTTAAATGGGGCATTTTAGCCCAGAAAAAAGGGCACTTTTTTCACTTTTAAGAAAAGTGGGGGGGCACATGCCCCCATTGCCCCCCCGGTTCCGCGGCCCCTGCGAAACCACATGCATAATATTAACTTTCACGTCTTTTTCGATTATGCACTTGAAATAACCTGCTTTGTATCGTCATGAACGGTCTTTAGATACACGAGTAAGGCATCGACAGAAAGCCTATGGACCGTAGATTCTAAAAATACAATTTTCAGACTGGCGTACATTCACGTTTCCGCTACAGCGACCTTGAAATTCAATAGAACAACAGATTCGAAACAGCCCAAACCCTATAACCCTCACTTATATAATACTAACATTCACGTTTTTTTCGATTACACAGCTGGAAAAAAACTGCTTTTTATCTCCACGACCGACCTAGTGATGAAAGAATGAGGCATCGACAGAAAGCTAATGGATCGTAGATTTCGAGAATACAACTTACAGGCTGGCCCAAATTCAAGTCTCTGCTACAAGGGCCTTGAAAGTCAATAGAACATCAGGTTCGAAACCACATGCATAATATTAACTTTCACGTCTTTTTCGATTATGCACTTGAAATAACCTGCTTTGTATCGTCATGAACGGTCTTTAGATACACGAGTAAGGCATCGACAGAAAGCCTATGGACCGTAGATTCTAAGAATACAATTTTCAGACTGGCGTACATTCACGTTTCCGCTACAGCGACCTTGAAATTCAATAGAACAACAGATTCGAAACAGCCCAAACCCTATAACCCTCACTTATATAATACTAACATTCACGTTTTTTTCGATTACACAGCTGGAAAAAAACTGCTTTTTATCTCCACGACCGACCTAGTGATGAAAGAATGAGGCATCGACAGAAAGCTAATGGATCGTAGATTTCGAGAATACAATTTACAGGTTACCTTATCAAAAATTTTTCAAAAAAAAACAAGTTACCTTATCGTTTTATAATAAGATGATAAAAAAATTAAAGTTAGAATGCACAGTCAGTCAGTCAGTCACTTACTGAGGATTCACGCACATTTATTTTTGTCAAATTTTTCCAGTCATGTATACCAAGTAGTCACAAATATTTAAAGTATATCGTATCGTTGGTGAAACTCTCAATGTTTAGAGGTGTCAACTTTTAGCAATCGAGACGCTTCGCCATTCAGAAATCAGATTGTCGTCTAAGACCTGCACTAAATTTACGTCGTTCCTTGTCCACAGGACTTGAATGCGTTCTTCGATGATGATGGCGATGCCCACCGCTGACACTGCCTCGTGCAGATGTGCCATCCCCAAAATCGTATAAATTCTCGTTACGGGTTCGGCTTCCTTTTGCTTCAAACGTGCTAAAGCGTCGCGCTCTTGTGTTTTCCATACGGCTTCTTTCCGTTTCATATTCGTTCTGTTTTTCGCTAACAGCGTTTACAAGTTCAATCAGTTTTTTCGTCTGGTTTTCGTGCCTTACGAGAACGTCCTTGTGGTTCACTCGAGAATTTTGGAGGTTTTGTAAATGAACGCGCATCTCGCCAATGAGTTTCTTTTGTTCCTTCATGTTTTCCTCTATTTCCGCGAGTTTTCTTTCCTGGAGTGTGACGATGTTCTCGGAGAATTCTTGAATTTCTTCCAACCTTGTTTTGCCTTGTCGGAAAGAAAGAAAAAAATTGTCGGATTAAAGATAGACGGATGGCACAATGTTTTAATGCATTTAGACTTTTTGTTGTCTCGGTGACAATTTTAACCGAGGTTAGCGCTAACCTAACTTTGAACAACCGACCCCTGTAATGTAGTTAATTGTTCAGTCAAAATTTCACCCCGGTTGCAGAGAAGAGTGCTTCGTTTTTGACTGGTTAAGCCTGGTTCACATATGCCTGCGACTGTATCATTATGCCTCTACTTGCCGCCGAAATACCGGCAAAGTTGAACTCAAGTCAACTTTCCCGGCCTACCGCCGATGTAACTGTGGCACTGGAGGCAATCGGCGAATTGTTTACGCAGCAAAAATTACACTTCAATTTGTGAGGAAACATCTGGAAAAGCAAGGTTAACGGAACATGGAGGGTTTTAATAGGTGTTTCCGACAGTTTTCGGTACATGTATCTTCATGACATGAGTGTTCGTTCGTACCTTGTTCTTGTGTGACGCTCAGCTTCGTGACCTTTTCTTCGAGTGCTGTGAGTCTTTCGTTGACACTGGAAACAAGGTCTACAAGATCACCATCGGTTTTAGACGAGTCTTCCATTCCGAACGTCGTATTATCTCATTTTGTAAACGTTGTTCAACTGTTCGCACGAACGCGCGTCACAATTCAAAGGACACTTGTGACGTCATAATATTTGTGAACGATGCAAAGCAAGAACGCACGTATGTTTGTGCATGACGTCATAATTGACAATTTGATGCCAGAATCCGGTTGTCCAAAGCTGCCTTGGGTTAAAATTGAACTTGCTGTTTTGGTTTGGGTATATTTGCACTTCTGTTTATTACAAAACTTTGAAAAATAAAACTTCTATTGAACCACACATGAATTGTGGAAAACTGTTTTCGTGTTTCTGAACAAGTTGTTGGGAACATTGCTTTGAGATTTTCCTATAGGATTATAACCAGCTTTTGATCAATCGGCCCTGGATATCATAAAATTTCTCGCCAATGTTAGTTGTCGGTATAGAGATTTTGTAAGATGTCATTTTCACAGCTATAGCCACTGTATTTGTGAATTTCCAGTCGAAATTTAATTACCCCATGGCCAATGTGAAAGACGTGTTGAATCGAGGTTTGAGCCTTTGAGGGCTATATATAACTTGTCGAGAATCTAGGAAGAACTAGTATCAATGATCTTTTGGTTCGCAGGAACGGTCTTTTGGCAAGTTATCGCAGAACAGTAAGAATGCGTATTCTAAGGCCAGGGTCAAACGTCGAACTTTTCATGCGCCGAACCTAATGTTAATGAGCTAAGTTCTTTGTTTCACTTCATTTGCATTAGGTTCGGCGCATGAAAAGTTCGACGTTTGACCCTAACCTAATAAACTTACCATGCACATACAAACATTTTGGTTCATCTTGTTATTAATTAATCACCACAAAATAATGGTACATTACCAAACAGTTATAAACACTCTTACATACACATTTCGATCTCAACATTACATATCATCAATATATCAGTAAAGCAAATACACAGAAAAAATTAACACTAATTGACAATATCAGGTTTTTTACAAAGCATTGGATATAAAAACGAGAATAAAATAATCAGCCATTATTTTCTTTTGTAACTGCAGGAGTTTAAAATAAAGTACGTTTTCTGAATGTTCAATGGCCAGTCATTCATTTGGGGCACTGTAAGCTGGGCCGTGTATCACTCCTACCACCTGCATTTCGTTTCATTTCTCTGATGAAATATACCATTGGGTCATTTGGGTGCCACTTGTTTATAATGCTACCAGGGCAGTATTCTTCACTTCCATCTCTGACTAACTCATTCTCGTCAGAATATAAATGTTAAACTTTCTTATAGCGGTTTCTTAATCTTCTTTGGGCTTCTTAAATTGTGCTTTATGTTTTTTGAAAGGTCTGGCACGGTCAAAGTCTAGAGTTACTTCGTTGTTATGACGTTTACGTTTTCCACCAAATTTCTTGTCCACTGTATCAATTAATGAATCATATCTAAAAGTGAAAGGGTTCCTTTTTTAGAACTACATTTACTTCGAATATTTGCTCAGGTTCTTTCAAGAGCTTTTGCTTAAAACAAAACATTAAAGGTCAAACAAAGCCATTACAAACCTTTCCGCCATTTGCTCATCCGAGACAGTGTCTTCCATCTCCCTTACTTCACACTCTGCTAATTCTTTCTGAGCAGTTAGTTCTTTAAATAATTTCTAAGAAAAAATAAGACCCCAATAAGCTCAATTGTGGTATTATGGCTCTGTATTCTATGAAAGAATGATCTCAGTATCGATTTGGTTGATTTTGCCAAACTTACTTCTACAGCGGGGTTGAATTTTTTGAATGACATTCTGCCTGTCGGGACAAGGTCTTCACAGACAACATAGCTTGTTTCATATTCAATCATATCTCTAAATTAAACATCAAACACAGCGATAGAGAGGTCTGGCAAAAGAATTTTGTGTCATGCAGAAAATATTTTCAGAGGGATTCCATTTTAATATGTAGGAATCCAAGGGAGGTGGGTGCTGTTGATTTCAGGGGGGGGGGTAGTTCTATGGTAGCAAGACTGATGTGAAACTAGAACCTACCAGGGGGGGGGAGTGATTTTTTTTAGTATGGGGTACACCACTATGTACATGTACTACTTGTAATCTTATGCATAATATTTTACCATCAGCATTCAAGAAGTTATGTGAGGGTTTGTCAAAGTTTGGTGGGGGATTGCTAAGCACTTTGGAATAGTGGGGGTCGGGGGAATGGGGAGGACACAAACCTCCTGCATGGTAAGTGTCCCCTCCATTGACCCCGCCTACAATTTTCTTGAAAGTACCAGGGTACAAGGCTGACCAGTCACCACTCACTCTCTGGCGCCTTCAACATTATCTAGTACCCAGTGCGCTTCATCTATCTCGCGTTTCTCTTCATCCTCTAACTGCTGACGTAGTTTTGCCTCCTCTGTCCTTTGCATGAACTAAAATAAACCCACAAACATGAGATAAATAATTAACACTATACATAGATTCTCTTTACGGCCATAAATCTATTCACCTTCATTTTTAAAAGATTTTTTGAAAGACTTTTTCGCTCTTTGCTTTCGGCCGCCATCTTGTAAATTTTTACCATCAGAGCCTGCAAACAAACCATAATATTCTGTGTTACATGAATTATTGAGTTTACTTTGAAAATTTGGGAGAATTTCTCAGTCCAAAATGGCCGCCAATTTTTTTTATTTGAAAAAAACTTGTATTATTGCTGTGGTTTTGAGGTTATTATTCATGATTTACGGCGAATGGCAAGATGCAACGATGGTGGTAAAATACACAGACATTGATTACGAGGTTTTCACAGACGCTGCAAGGCATGTAGCTAATGGAAGTTCGCCTTATCGCAGGGCCACTTATCGCTACACTCCACTCCTAGCATGGATTCTCGTGCCAAATATAACACTCCACAAAGCTTTCGGGAAACTTTTTTTCGTGCTTTGTGATATTATTGCAGGATATTTAATCCATTTGATATTAAAAACTGAAGGAATTGTAGATTATACAGCTGTGAAATATTCCTGGATCTGGTTTTTTAACCCAATGATTATTACCGTGTCGACGAGAGGAAATGCTGAATCTGTACTTGCAGTTTTGGTCCTATCTACGCTTTATTTCATGCTAAACAAGCGGTTTATTCTCTCTGCAGTCTTATTGGCATTTTCTGTTCATTTTAAAATTTACCCAATTATTTATTCATTGCCGTTATACTTGATGGTGGGGTGGTTTGCAAGGGGAAAGGGGGGCGAGTGTGGACATACAAAGCAAGATGGAATGCTGCAGGTTATATTCTCTCATATCAGTCATCCACATCAGTTGTTATATGCTGTCATATCTGGCTCAATGTTTCTTTTGATAAATGGTGTCATGTATTACATGTAAGTTCCAAAACACAAGATTGAAAGAGTAAGGCAAAATATGTGTGTAGCTGTTGAGTGTGGCTTTAGAATTTAAGCATTTATATTCTGACACAGTTGTGCAGCCAAAGATTTTATTTTGGGGTGTCAACTTGATAATTTGTGAGTCACAATTCTAGGAGGGTCTGGGGGCATGTTTCCTGGAAAAAGTAAACTTTGCTTCTCAGGAACGGCATTTCCTGACTTGTGGAGATACTTGAAGAACAGTGTGAATGTCTTAATAAATCACCTTTTAACAGTGTCAAATTGTGATTTCAGAATATTTGACAATTTACTTCAGTGGGAGACTTAGTCAGATAGAGCTTTATAGATGCGCGCAAGATACGCAACACTATTAAAAATGCTAGATGCGCGACCAGGATTCATAATAAAGTTTCTGAAACGTTCTCTGATCGTAAATTTTTTATTTGAAACACAAGCTTTCGACTGCCAGTCTGCAGTCTTCGACAGGTAAAGTGATAATAAACTATTCTATACGGATATAGCTGCAAGGACAGTGGTTTACAATTACAATTATCATGACATGCAATATAACAATGATTAGTTCCGCCTACGTAAACTCTCAGTGAAACGAGTATACTTATAAATATAAAACTATGTCTATGATCTGTTCTTTTTTAATAAAAATCTATATTGTTCTGGTAAATGTTGTGCATTGTTGTCAGAATTGGCGGAACTGGCTGGTAAATTGTAAACTCTCAGTGAAACGAGTATACTTATAAATATAAAACTATGTCTATGATCTGTTCTTTTTTAATAAAAATCTATATTGTTTCTGGTAAATGTTGTGCATTGTTGTCAGAATTGGCGGAACTGTGATCATTGTTATATTGCATGTCATTATAATTGTAATTGTAAACCACTGTCCTTGTAGCTATATCCGTATAGAATAGTTTATTATCACTTTACCTGTCGAAGACTGCAGACTGGCAGTCGAAAGCTTGTGTTTCAAATAAAAAATTTACGATCAGAGAACGTTTCAGAAACTTTAATACGCAACACTGTTTGATGACAATTTAATTTTCCAAAACAAAACAGGTTTTTAAGAGAAATTAAGCACGAAAATTTACTTTATGGGCACTTATTAGTTAAGACAATGACACGGTGTTGATTTCTTTTAATTTGCTGATAAATATTACTATAATTACATAGGTGATTATTGAAAATTCTCCACGCTGAATGGTTGCTGTTGTGGTGAATATAACGCGATAGTCACCTAAGCGGTTTCCGAAATGTAGGCCGTTTCGTCGATTAAATGACAAAGAAATGTGTATTTTTTATTTTTTTCCAAAACAATTATTCACCTCAGGCTCTGTGATTATCGTGAATAAAAACCTCGACTTCGTCAAGGTTTTTATTCACTGATAATCACCTCGCCTTCTGCGAATAATTGTTAATTAATGAATTTGATAATGATAACTCCAATTGTCTCCCTTATTTCCAATTGTCATCCATGCCACTTTAATTTCTTTATTTCACAGGTATGGATTTGAATTTTTTGAACACACATATTTATACCACGTGACAAGAAAAGATGTCAAGCATAATTTCTCCGTCTATTTCTACATGTTGTACCTTACTATGGACACGTCATTTTCATGGATAATAAGTCTGTTGGCATTTCTTCCACAACTCATACTCGTTCTTGTGTTTGGAGTGAAATATTACAAAGACCTGCCATTTTGTTTGTTTGTTCAGACTTTTGTTTTTGTCACTTTTAACAAAGTCTGCACATCGCAGGTAACTTTTTAATTAGCCTTTCTCACGAAGGCCAAAATCGACCATTTTGGGGGTACTATCCACCCTTGTAAAAGATTCTAGACAATACAAACAACGTGAAAAGCGACTTTTAATTTAAAAGTTATAACTGTAAATTTACCATTATATACAAACAACTAATGTGTTTGAACGTACGATACCCTAAAGCGCAAAATCGTGCAAATTGAAGTACGGTCCAAAATTCAGTTCCGCGTGATAATTCTGATAATTCTCTGATAATTTGTTGTTTTATTTAACTTTTAGTATTTTCTTTGGTATTTATCACTTTTACCGCTTATCTTGCCTCGAGTAAAGATCAACATGACGAAAGCTTTAAAAATGCTTCTGGCCTGGTGTATAAGTCAGGTAACTATTTTCCACTATTTGCTCTAATTCAGTTCCGGGCATTGTGCAGCCATCTCAGGGCCAGAGATACGAGGGTGTGTGTGGGGGGGGGGTATGACACCCCCCCGAAATTTTATTCAGTCGGCAGGACTGCTATTTAGTCGGTAGGACTGCTATTTGGGTTAAATATTTCCGCGCAAAGGGCAAGATATTTGGGTTTTTTGGGTAAATTTCCGAATTTTGGTATGAAAAATTGAGGTAAAGTTACTGGAAAGCATTTGCAACGTACTCGTCCGGAAAATTTTTTTCCCTAAAAAGTTGTCGGTCTCCGAAAATTTTTTTTTCGTCAGTCGGTTGAAATGACCTTACACCCCCCCCCCCCCCCCCCCCCTGAAGAATTCCCTGAGGACGGCCCTGAGCCATCTAGTGTTGTTCTGCAGAGTACATGCAATGCAAAAATGTTTTCTCTCCCGACTTTTTCTTGTTCGACAGGTTTTAGACCGGTTTTCCATAATGTACTGTAAGTTTTAACTGCATTTATTTTCCGTCTTTTTCAGGCTCTTTGGTTGTCTGCAGCATATCTGCTAGAGTTTCAAGGCTACAATACGTTGCTTCTTGTCTGGACTGCTAGTGTTTTATTCTTTGCTGTTAATATATGGATTTTATACACCGTCATTGTAAATCATACTTATAGTATCTAAAATAAAAAAACTAATTAAATCGTAAAGAACGACGTGTATTAATAGGATGGATGGTTTTGCCGTTCAGCCGTTGAATAACCATTCAACTTGGATGATTATGCCGTTGACTGTCTTCGGCATAACCATTCAACTTGGATGGTTGTGCCATTGCCGTTGACTGTCTTCGACATAGCCATTCAACTTGGATGGTTATGCCGTTGAATGTCTTCGGCATAACCATTCATCTTGGATGGTTATGCCGTTGAATGTCTTGGATGCCTTAATTAATGGTTCTGCCAGTAATGCAACAATGACGTCATGATGACGTCATGATAACATATGATGCAAAATTACTTGTTCTAGGGACAGTTGAGTAAGCCCGGGCGTATAGGTTTAGGGCCTATGGTTTAGGGCGAAGCAGGGAATCGGGCCTGGATTAGGATTAAGATTAGCATTATGGTTGTTTCGTTTAGAATAATTTGACCTCAGAATTGACCTTTTAGAACTATTTCATAATTATTCATCGATCATACGATATCATTTCTTCCGGGGGTCTGGGACTAGTAGAAATCTGAAGAAAAATGGCCGCCCGGTCTTCGTATATAAATTTTGGAGTTTGGTTGAAGAAAAACATGGATAAATAAAAACAAAATAATTCAGAAATCAGTGTAGATATGGCACAGTGTTCTCAAACTGCTTTCGAGTTTATACAAGGCGCGTATGGGCCGATGATAGCCGTATTGTGTACAGAGGATGCTGAGATTGTCTGCCAGAAAAATAACCTGAATTTTGTAGAGCTTATTCGTCCTTTCTCACAGTTAACAAGCGAAGGTAATAGAGGAGAGTGTAGCGCTTCTTTGTGTTGGGTATTAGAAATGATAAGTGTTATTTTTTTATATATAAATACGTGGCAATATCATAATGGTTTGCTAGCTCGCACTCGCAGCTACTAGCTACTGTACATAGCTAGTGCTGTTTTGCTGAATATTAATCAAGCATGTACAAATATACTGTACATAAGTAGTGTTCGTACTTAAATATAGCAAAAACTTCTACAGGTGCGTAATTAGCAAACTTAGCTGCCAGGATCTTAAGGTTAGTCTGAGGGTATTCAGACTGGGGGAAGTCAAAATATATATCTTCTCTCATGGGGGGGGGGGG